CATCTTGAAATGATTGGCAAAGACCCGCGATGGAAACTAAAGACACTGGTAAGATCAAAGTAGAAATACATTACCCAGTGGGAACCAGTGGGGAAGTTACTCTGAAAGGTTTCTGAATGAGGAGACTCCAAGAGAACCATGCTGTAGGAGAAAACCAAACAAGGGACTGATAAGGTCAGTCCTAGAAGCAGCAGGGAGGCATTAAACAATGAGAAATAAGAAAGCTCTCAGCCCCAATGGCATACCAGAAGAAATACCTGGAGCAAATAGGTGTGAAGATATTGAGACAACTGCCTGGTCACCTCATGAGGCATGAGAAGATGTCTACAGAAAGATATTGGTATTAATGTGCTCTAAGAGAAAAGGAGATGTACAAGGTTGTGGTAACTACTGCAGCATTAAACTCATACACCACACAGCAAAGATCTGGGAGAAAGTTATTGATAAGACTATGAAGAGAAATAAAGGTCAGCGACAATCAGTTTGGATTTGTGCCAGGCATGGCAACAACAGACGCTATCTTTGCATTAAGATGGCTTGGGGCGGGGGCGGGGGGGGGAAGAACAGAAAAGAAAACCCTGCACATGGTATTCATCGACCTTGGGAAGACTCTTGACCACGTTTCAAAATAAATCTGGTGGTGCATGAGAAAGATTTCTGAAGACCATCTCAGACTCATCCAGGACATATGCAAGGGAGGTATATTACCACAGGTTGAAGGCCATGTGGAGACACTGAACAGGTTTTAGTAAGGCTTGGCACATGCTGATGCTCAATGCACTTACAGAAAACATCCAGAGAGTGGCACCATGGCTGCGTGCTTTTTGCAGAGGTGTTCATGGGGGAAAGCAAGGAGGAAGTAGAAGATGATTTCAAGATGCAAGTGCACACTTGAAAGAAAAGGGCATGACAATCAGCAGAACTAAATTAGTATATGGTCTGCAGATTTGAGGATATCTTGCAGAGAGACTAGACCAAATTTTGTGGGCCAGCCATTCCAAAGGTAGAGAAATTCCAATAACTGTTTGATAGTACAGGATAATGGTGAACTCAAACTTATAAGCAGAACTGGAAAGGCATGGACTAAAAAGGGAGAGAAGTGAGAAGAATGATCTGCGATAGGAGAATGCCTATCACATTGACAAGATCTACAAGACAGTAATTAGGCCTTCACTTTTGTATGGCTCCAAATGCTGGGCACTGAGAGATAGGAGCAGATCTTGAATCCAGTGGAAATGAAAGTGTTAAGATGGATGCTTGGAGTTACAAGGATGGACCATGCTCAGAATGAATGAGTCGGGAAGTGTGACAGTGGTACGAGCTGCGGAAAAGCTGAGGGAATCCAGGTTTAGATGGTTTGGGTGTGTGAAAAGAAGATCGGAAGAGCATATAGAAAACAGGGTGTTAAACTTAGAAGTGGAGGGTAAAAGAAGGGTTGGAAGACTCAAATCTAGATGGATGGACAGCGTACCAACATCTGTGAGTAGCTGGGGAGTTGCTGAGGCACTGCTTCGAGACAGACCGGAATGGAGGAAGATTTGAAGAGCTGACCTCATATAGATAGGACTAAAGCTAGAAGAAGTAGCTGCAAACTAGTGATTTCCTCTCCAGAGCACTCCCAGTAACCAAGTATTTGGAGGAAACTGCTGACATTCTCCATTACCTACTCTTTCACTTGCAGCAAGGGGAAGTAACTTGGACAATATATGATGAACTCATTCAAGGCGGTTTGTCATCAGCAACCCACAAGAAGAGACCAGACTGGAAGCACCTAAAAGGTAGGTCACTAGCAGAAGTAATACAGGCAAATGGGTAACCTCAAGACATCTCAGAAAGAGATGTGGATAGAATTAAAACAAAGTGACCTAGTGCAAGTAGTTTGAGAGACTCTAAAGGGAACTTCAAAAGATGGATATTTTTATGTGCCCCAAACACACTCATTTTTAGCTGTTGATCTCAAACTGCTTTACAAAGGAAGGTGAACATCATTAACCCATTGTACATATGAGGAAACTGAGGCACAGGCAGGGGAAGGGACTTGCCCAAAGTCATGCAGCAAGTAAACGGCAGAATAGAGCCCAGACCTGACACCCACCAGGAGTGGAGATATATGTGAACTTCCACTGTCTGTATAAATGAAGCGCATACCAGCCCAGAGGCTGGTGTGTCACTTTTTCATAGATCTTGCAAAAGGAAGAGGCAAAGTTAGTCAGGCTGCTAAGAAAGGCACGTGTAGGTTCATTGGTACTCGGTTCTTCCATAGCACCTTTTATCCAAGGACTTCAGGGAGTCACAGACAAAGGAACCCTTGCAACACTCTTGAGAGCTAGTTAAATCTGCTTCCCATGTTACAGAGAGGTCACCATGGCAGGGAGAGAGAGACCTGTCCAGGGCCAGAGAGCTAGGGAGAGAACCTACATATCTTAGCTTCTTACCTCTGCTGTAACCTCAGCTCCTCTACACTGAGGCCTTGGGCACACACAGGGAAGTCCTAGCAGACTCACCAGGGCTAACCTAGTAACCCTGACCAGCACTAGGATTTGCCTGTGCAGGGACAGAAGAAGTGATGTTCCCAATTGCTTCTAGTTTCTTGTGTAACAGATCTGCACTGACTATGTCTATTCACCACCACCACCTGGCTCTTATCTTCAGATCTCAAAGTGCCGTACAAAAAGGCAGTCAGCATTCGTCACAGGGATCTTCGTAACAGCTAGAGATTTTTCCAGCTTATGACGTTCTTCAGGCTGAAAGCAGTTCACTTTCCAGACAAACCGCGGTAGCCCTTGCGTTCCTCCCCACGCCTGTGCTGTGCTACCGGAAGAAAAAGGCACTGCTGCCATGGATTCCTGGGGAAAAAAGCGATTTTCACATAGTTGGATGGTTCAGTCTGGCGAGTGACCCACCCTGTTCTCCAGTCAGGCCAGCAGAGCCTGCTTAGATCGACCACAGGCTGGATGTAGGCAACATTAGCTTGTTTTAAAACACAGAGCTCGGATCTGGTGCATAGACAGCTTTCCAGTTAATGGGACTTCAAAACTGGCACAGAGTGGGGAGGTTCCAGCACCTGTGCCTAACCTGGGTCCCTGGATTAGCTGTACGTTAGCACCATCTAGTGACTTTAGCACAACATACAAGCTATCACCGCTGGGTCTACAGATTAACACCCTCCTCCCCGTCCACCCCCCAAAAGCCTCCACCGTTTGGTGGCTGCTGGGGCAGCTCCACGTGTGGCTGCAACGGTGGCAACGCTTGCATGGATCAGCTGTAGTGTTGGCTGCCATGTTGTCGAACGCTGCTCAGATCACGCCAGAGGTAAGAAGGCTGGTGACCTGTTTACAATAATGCTCCCACAGCTGGTGTGGCTTTAGTCGGAATCAAGAACAGAGCTCAGGGCAGGCAAGGTTTAAAGGAGGATCTGCCCATTTGGTCACCTGGAGTCCTCAAAGTTTCCAGCGTTAGCTGTTTGTTTTCAAGAGGCAGTTGGAGTCCGTGGGCAATTGGAGGTAGGCATCTAACCAATCGTTTTATGAGCATCTGCAGTTCTTCTAACAGGCTGTGCAGCCTCCACAAAGATGTTACTCCAGGACTAGTTTGTCAGATCAAGTACTCTGAAAAAACCTGACCAAAAATTATAGCAAACCAACGACCAACCCACCCACTATGGTGGCTTCTCAGATTTTGGTAAACTCATTGTGAAGAATTTGAAGCCCAAAGTAAGAGCCATATTTAAATTCACTGTGTCTAGTTTTTAGTCATGCCTGTTTCTTGAATGCATGCTTTGCAGCATACTCTTAAATTCAGCTTAAGAAAAGGTCTGTGGTAGATGGGATGAGCTGGAGGTGTCTCCTTAGAAGTTTCACACACTGCGTATTATTTTGGGATGGTCCCACACTTTAATTTCAGACAGGAGTTAAAAAGGCGACTGACGCAAATCCCTTTTTTTCCCCAGTTTCCTGCCACATTAATGCTACTGAATTCATTTTGTGAAGCTCTTTGAACCCTGGCAGACAGGCGATATGGCTGGCCTTTGTGTATCCTCTCTAAATATCTGTCTAGATATGCTAGACAGGGTGTCTAATGTTACATTCAGTGGTATTCTTTGACATGCAGAACATTATCTAGGTATGTATACTGCACTCACCGTGAGAGGTTTACAGGAAGATGGGAACTAACAGGTGCTCAGTGGAGATTAGTTGTATTGGTAGATATAGCTAAGAGGGGTCAGGGTCTGTTTAAAACATTATCCTAGGAAAACTAAGGCAGAGAGATGAATCTTCATCTTTGGGCCAAAGATGGAGATTTGTGGACGTTCCAAACTTGAGGAAGGGAGCTCCAAAAACCTTGGGTCAGCTGCCAAAAAGCCTCCATCAAGTCATTGCCTTGTAAACAAACAATTCTCCTAATTGAATCAATACATCACATCAGTTGCATAACTGGATGTAATAACTAGAACCTCTGCCTATTGGTTCCTGGGATCATCAGTCACAGAGTGACACATTGCAAGTATCAGGCTCAGAACTGTGCGACTAGATTTCATCTGCTAAGATTTCATGCTTGCTACTCTTACCATATTGATCCAGCTGCCAAACCTGTGCAAGAATCTTCACAATACTCCCCACCCCCCTGAGGGGAAGGACACTACGCTGGCAAGTAGCCACAGGAGGCATTTTAACGTTTAGAAAGTTGTAAACAAAAGTAAACAATTTTTGCTATGTAACATGCCAGAACCATTTCTACAGATCCCCAGCTTTAGGTCCGATATCACTCCCTTGTAGACCAATGTAAGTTTTCTGAAAAGTCCTACATTACACAGCGCCTAGAACAATGGGGCGCAGATACTACTGTATACACAGAATGATACTTCAAAGCACTCTTCCCCGTAACACTGCACAAAAACCTAAGCTATGCAATGGAAGTTTAAAAACCAAAGTGACTCCAACCATACAAGAGGGCATCCCAGAGAAAGCTCCGCAAGCGTTTGTTCAAGAACACTACACAGCAAAGGATTAACTCGTTTTATTTACTTTTGAAATATCAGTTTTAAATTTTCAGTTACAGAGTCCAGTCTAGCAATGGCAAGCCGAAAGTGTGTTACTGTTTGGTCATTACAATACAGCCCTTTTGTGACACACGGGATTGTTTGGTTTTACAAGGCACTGCAAGAAAGTACGGAGAAAAACAGAAGCCACAACAAATGTATAACTGTAGTTCCGATAAGCACACTTGGGGGAGAGACGCTTATCTGATCACAATTAACAGAGAAGGTTCAAAAGTGCTCATCTTGAAAGGCTGAGTGATGCTGCAAATGCATAAACAAGAGACGTCTGGACAAGAGAACATGATCTGAAGAAATCTGACCAATAATTCTGCCAGTCTGCTGAAGACCAGTGAACAGCGAGAATGTTGTGTGTGCAAGTGCACTTATACCATGTAGTCTGCTCTCCCTCCCTAGGCCTGGATGTGTTCTGGGAAGGTCTTCAGAGCTTAGGTCAATGCAGAACTTCTCTGGAAGGTACTCAGATAAAGGGGACACAGACAGGTGGTCAGTGGTTTCTCCCAGTTACAGGTGTCCAGTCTTGCCTCTTCCCTCTGCACCCACATGCAAATGGCTCATCTATCCCCATGCACCAACAGGCTGCATCCCCAGGGAGCAAAGCCCAAGAAAAGGCACTCCCTGTTTAATCAAAGTTCATACAGGCATTTCAATAAGCTGGTGCAATACAAGATCTGAACCTGTATTTAAACAGCCCAGGGTTTAACTTCAGGGCAGTGTATAATTTCATTTCCCATATTTAATTCTTGTCTACAGCAAGACACCTTGCATTTCATTTTGTTTTAAAATATTTCTTTAAATAGAAGCAGTCTCCATGTTTCCATAGGGAGCGGAATTAAGCCCAAGAGTATCCTGTGGGTTTAATTTTTTTGGATATAGCTTTGTTTCTGCTGTGGAGATTCAGTGAAACTGCTGTTTATTTTTACACTGATAATACAGTTCTTTACTATGTCAAGCTGCAAATACTAGTTTTGAAAGGAAAAAGGATATTTCTTCACTGCAAAATGTTAGTTAGGATTTCCAGTAAATGCAATGTAACACACTCCACAAGATTTTTATTAGGGGTGTGTGTGTATATATAAATATAATGAGCGATTAGGGGTATTTGATGCAAGCTTTTCAATAAAGTTTTGAAAATATAACAAAACCCAGAATAAGCTAAATTGAATGAAGCCCTATCAAACTGCCCCGCACCCCCTGTATTTTACTGTAAACCAGCTTTCTACAAACCAGAAGTGAAACAGTCAAAGGCGCTTGGAGGGAAGCTGCTCTATGGAAGCCTATTTGAGAAACACAAATTGATTTAGAGCTATTGTGAATTCAGCTACAACATCCTTGTTGCAGGATTCCTAAACTGAGAAAAACTGAACTCCATATGTGAATATAACACCAACGTGCCTGTTACTCTCCATTACGTTGCGCCTGGACAGGTGGTTTTCAAACACTGCAATTAACTCTTAAGGGAGCCCAATACTGTATCACAAAAATGCATGGTTAGAAAGATTAAACACACTTATGCTACAATTTAAAACTGATTCACAGGTCACCATTGGCCTGGTGGTGACAGAATACACTCAGGTCGGGAGTTTATTTTGTGGGATAGTTCCTCTTTTACACAAGGCTGTCACCTGCCAGATTAATCGCTCTTTCCCACCTAACCTTTCCCCACTTGGGGTCCAGCCAGGTCTTTGCACAGCGCTTTCTTTATACAGTTCATATCTAGCTATGCTTGCGTGTAATGTTTCACTGAATTACATGTTCAGACACTGAGGATTACTGGTGTTCTATCATTAAAAAAAAAAAAAAAAGATACCAGGAGGCTGTAATATCAGCTAGAGCCCAGACCTGGAAGCTCCTGGGTTCTTATCCCAGCTATACCATGGATTCGCTATGCGACCATGTCCAGGGTACTGTTTGCCAGTTGAGTGAGGCACAGAGAGGTTAACACCATGTGGAAGATTAGGCAGACAAAAAAAATTACACATCACTTAAGTCTAAATGCTACATTTGGGACAATTTATAGTTCCCTACTTGACTTATTATAAGCCAAGCACTTACAGTACAAATCCTAAGGCGATACAGAGACATTGTCATATATCAGACCCTGGCAGCAGCCAATACCCAATGCTTTTAGAGGAAGAGCGACAACCCTCCACACTCTGTCATGCCACGCTGCATGGCGACAAATCCCTTCGACGCCAGCAAGCGGTCAGTTTAATTTTTATTATTTTGAGTTTACATGGTACCAGTGAAACTGGCCACAGAGCCAGCCCTACCAGCAGCAATGAATTGCAAACACTGAGCTGCATAAAGTGGTATTAATTTTTTTCATTCTAAATGTACTCCCTTTAATTTCACCAAGTCTTATAATTTTGAACCCCCTCAACCAAGTCCCCTCCTTGTAAAATTGTTCTTTCCAGGCTAAATAATTCCAGTCTTTGCAGTCTCACATCACAACCCTTCTCAATACCTCTAAACCATCTTCATTACCTTTTTCAATCTTTCCAGAGGAGGCAGCCAATGCTGGACAATACTCCACATAAATGCGAGACATGGATATTTTCTTTTTTTTCCATATATCACTCTTTTTCCAAATGCACTCAAACACAAATGGCTGCTGAGCCTTGGGCATTGGTCTTCACTAGTACACCCACAATGGCTCCGAGTCCTTATTTTCAGAGAAGCCTTCAAGTTCAGAGTCAGTCAGTACTTCTCTTCCCTGAGAGATAATGGACATTACAGCGTTTTTATTCAAGCTTAATTTCTCCTGCCACTATGGTCACCAATCCCTGAATGAGTTTGAGCGCATCTGGAGTTTCTCAAAAATCCTCCATAGTTTTTATTAACTGAAGCAACTAAGTCTCATCCATAAGTGTCACCAACTCCTTACTCATTTCCTCCCACAAGCTGTGAGTAAGTACATAAAGACACACAAAAAACCTGCTCTCATTAAAACAAAATCCACTGAGCTCTCACTCAGTTTCTCAGCAAAGTGTTAATATAGACAGTGCTGCAATGACTTACTAGAATTTCACACATTTTATAAGGTGTACTAGTTATAGGTATCAATTTTAACTAACCCTCGTTTTTTGTGTTTCCACATTGACTTGCTAGTTTGAAAAATTCTGTAGCTGGCAATGGATCTCCCAGGCAAAGTTCTATTAATTAATGAATTGAGGATGAAGCAGGCAGCAAATATTACACAAGACAGTAACTAAAGTTTTTGACCATTTGTATGGTGTAATTCCAAACAAAATAGGTCTATATTAGGGAACACGAGTTAATGGGGTTAAAAAAAATTCAGCAAAAAACCCACAAAAGTATTTATTTAGGTCAGATTTAAACAAAATGAGTTTAATGTCAATTTAAAAAAATCACTATACAAAACTTGGCTAATAAAGTGAGAAACCAACTCTTTAAAGAGGTGATCAACTACTTATTCTCAAAACAAAAGATAAAATAAATTATATTTTCTAGCAAATAAAACTGATCCCATGAAGCTTTATAAAAGCAGACTGTGAGGAAATGCAAACAATTAAAAACACTGCTCACAACAAAGCGAAGCTTATTAGTAGAAATAAGAACTTTGACACAGACATGCAGAGCTCCCATCCCACGCTCCCACTCTCAGAAATCAGTGAAGTTTTTCCCTCAAAGAAGGATTGCGGGAAGGGACCCAAAACGCATTTCTGAAAGGGTGCCTGGCTGGGGAGACTCCACTGACTGAGCAAGCTAATCCTGAATGCAGTTTTATCCTCTAGAAGACACATCCCTCCTACCTTCTCTGTTCACAGAACTGGACGCTCCTCCTTCCACAGTTTTATACAATATATTCCATTCCTATACTCGAGTGGATTCCACCGAGCATGGTGCAGTATCAACACTAGTAGGGGGCTCTGAGGCTGACCATCTGCAAACTCCATAAGGACTATCTGCACTCAAAGTTACAACTGAATGTTCAACAGGAAGACGTTGACAGTGTCCTATTTAGAACTGGAAACGTTGACCAAAATGAGACAAAACTGGTCAACGATCCAGAGGATCGGAGCTGCTCAACTTCCCTTACTGAATTAGGAGGAACGTTCAGCAGACAGGTGGCCCACACAAGCAGATACCTGCCAAGATGAACCAATAAAAGTTTCTGTTTAGGGGCAGCCTTGTCTGTGACTTTCTGGGGACATGCACTACAAGGAACATGGGTTTGTTGATCTGCAGCCCTTTAGGAGACCATCCCATGGAGTTTTAACTCTACGGTCCTTCTCTCTCATTCAGCTGTGGAATTCTGCTTCAATTTTGTTCATAGCCCAGGAATCTTTAAGTGGAAATTAAATGGTTTCAGAAATTATGTATAAGTCAGCTGCTTTATTTAATGGAATATATGAATTCTCTCTTTTGAAGAGGTTCAACAGTTAAGATGCATTTTGGTGATCAGAACTGCTTACCAATAAAAGAAAACTGCAAGATTACCTCCACTATTCACAAAAATGAGTAAAATCACCAATATTTAAACAAAATATTAAATATAATAAATTACTAAACCGAAAATTGTGATCTGACCTGTCTGCTGAAAGCCTGACAAAGTGCTACTCTGCATCTAATGCACATGAGAGACTATACATTGACTTTTAAAGCAAGTTCTATCAGAAAAGCTGTGAAGAACACATGAAGCTATTTCCCCAGAAAACCAATCTTAAGTAACTCAAAAGTGTATCTGAAGATCTCCATGCACTAGCTTCCCAAGCAAAAGAGTGGTCTTAATGCAACTGCAGACTCTCCAACCTCTGGCATGCATTCAGATGCTAAGTGGTATTTTCTGTCACTATACTTCCTGGTTGGAAGTCGCAGTAAAGTGGCAGCTCTCATTTTGAGATTCTGTAGTAGAACCGTTCATAATTAGAGAACTTAAAACATTAACAGATATTTCTAACAGGTTTCAAAACATAGTTTAATATCTATTTTAGTAAAAGTATTAGACTAGTATTAGTCTTATTTAAATGGTTCCCTAAAAAGACATGCTAGCTAGTACCAATTTAACTGTTACTTTTGTTGTGACATTACGTACCTTTTACTTACATCACAATTTAGAGTCAAGGTCACATACTAGCAGTTCAAAGACCTTTTTGAATCTTGGCTAGAACAGAAGACCCATCTTGCCAAGTGCTGCCTTTGGAAATTTTGCAAGGCAAGCGACACTTCAGACCTAGCCTCAATGGCACAAATGAAATCATCTCACCAAAGAGAGGTCACATGGAGACCACCCAGAAATGCCCCTATGGAGTGAAATTCTAAAACACAAGTCTCAGTTTATACATGATGAGAAGGGCTTTCTTAAAAACTGATAGAATGGGGCCAGGCCCACAACACAGCTTGTGCGGAAAGTTTTGCTCCCCAAGAGGATGCTGCAGCTAGAATGGGGACATTATCTGCCCCGATGCGTCATGCCCCCTACAATTGGTTTTGAGACTAGAACAGACCAGTCAGAAAAGTGCATGTTTGCTACCATTGGGGTGAGTGACCCCGGCAGAGAACCCTGGGTCCTGATTTTCCTAGTGTAGATAGATCAAAATTGGTTTGCATTGGTGTAGATAATGGCCAGAAAGGTAAGGCAGTGAAGAAAGACTCGTTTTCTCCTGGCTGTAGGCCACTAAAGGAATTATGTTACTTTCTCTGGGAACTGAGCCATGGGACTTGAAACCAGAGCTGCAGGAGAGTCTCTTTGCAGCAGGAACCACTATGGGGTCTGGAACACATGACTTATGAGGAGGGGCTGAGGGAACTGGGATTGTTTAGTCTGCAGAAGAGAAGAATGGGGGGGGGGGGGATTTGATAGCTGCTTTCAACTACCTGAGAGGTGGTTCCAGAGAGGATGGTTCTAGACTATTCTCAGAGGTAGAAGAGGACAGGACAAGGAGTAATGGTCTCAAGTTGCAGTGGGGGAGGTTTAGGTTGGATATTAGGAAAAACTTCTTCACTAGGAGGGTGGTGAAACACTGGAATGCGTTACCTAGGGAGGTGGTAGAATCTCCTTCCTTAGAAGTTTTTAAGGTCAGGCTTGACAAAGCCCTGGCTGGGATGATTTAATTGGGGATTGGTCCTGCTTTGAGCAGGGGGTTGGACTAGATGACCTCCTGAGGTCCCTTCCAACCCTGATATTCTATGATTCTATGTGTATGTGTACGTGTACAGCACCTAGCCCAGTGGAGCCCCATGGGGGCCCCAAAGGCAATAGAGATAATAATGGAAGCCGTGGTACCTTCTGGTCATTCCTTCCCGGTGCCCCAGGAGAAGCACAAACACAGAGCTCAGTGCAGGAGTAAACAAGATAATTGCAACTCTGGGTCTGCAGTAAGGGTGGCATTGGGTGGGGCTGAGTGCCTGCTAGCTGTGGGGTGGGGTGGGGTTGCCTTTCATTCACATTTTAGCATATTTATGTCTATCTCACTAGGAACCTTTTAGAGCACACCAGCAGGGTCTTCAAGGGACAGCTGGAGCACAATCCACTAGATGTCCTTCTTCCAATCCATAAACAGAACAGACATTTACAATAAAATAAAAAAAAAGTACAGAGTTGGTTTTAAGGTATGGGGGCAGGGTAAGTTCTAGCATTGAGGTTCTGGGAAAAGAGACCCCTGTGGAAACAGTGGTCACTAGCAAAGCTTTTCCAACCGCTATACGTTTTATTTTATACACGTATGAAACGATGTGTTTCGTAAAGGAGGTATATGGTTAGTCTGAGCAAGGAAGGTGGTATTAAGAGCACAATAAAAATAGTTTTTCGGAACTATTTGGTGTGGGTTGGGTGTCTCCCACATACAAAAAGCCATCCCCTCTTTGTACCTCAAGTGCTTCCCATCAAATCAAAACCATGTACCCCTTCTGTTTGCAGCACTATTAAAGTCTTAACAGACGTCCACACTAATGCACTGGTATTTTAGGACTGGCAAAAAGATTCAGTGTCCCTCTAAAACAATTATAAATGACTCCCCATCCCGAACAAGAACTGTTTAAAATATAAGCCCAATCTTCTATGCCAACTGCTTATAGCTATAATTTTACATTAAAACCTTTTTTTTTTAAAATCAGTAAATCTTTTAAATTAAGGACTTCTAGTCAGAAGGTGGTATCAACAATTCCCTGCACATGAACTCTGATTCCAGGTGTAAACCTTTTCATCTGCACTGTATTAGACTGCTCAATAGCTGTCACTTGATTTACAGATATCCTCTGTATAAAACACAGCACACATTTTTCAGCCACTTCAGGAAATAAGTAGTTACAGGTGGTTTAAAAGAAAGACTTGAAATCCTTTCTTGCTTAAGATGAAATTCACACAGGAAGAAAAGAATGTCACAGAATTGCTGGAAGTGGAATTAACTTTCATTCTAAAGTCTCTGATTCTTTTTCTGTACATCTCAGACAGGCTGCTTCCCCAGTACTTAGTAGTGGGGAATATTGTGGAAGTGCAACAGTAGTAGGACTTTTGCCCAGCTTCAGTGTTCATGGCGACAATTGATTTTGCCTTCAGAATGCTCCAAAACATCGAGCATTTCTTCTATGATGGCCTGTAGTGCCCGACCCAGCTGTGCTGCAGTATATGGTTTTCCCAGTGGAGGCACGTGAACAAATGCAGACCTGCCGTGGCTCTGGTATAAGGACGTATAGTAAGTGAAATCACAGAGATATCTGTAATTAAAAGAAGTTTGTTTAGTGATAAGCAACAAGTACTGTGAGCAAATGGATACGAATAAAATGGAGCGTGGGAAGCCCAGCACAAATGGCTTCTGGTGATTAGCAATGGAAAGCGGCTACAGGAGAAGAATGGTTACATTAACCCTGTATTGGCTTCAGTTATTGTCTCGGCAGCAGCCAAACAGGTTTCAGAGTCTTTCATGTCATTCCCATGCCAGCTGTTCTAAAAATACCAAATAACTTCTCCCCAGACAACAAGACATCACTTTTGTAGTTGCTTTACCTGAAGAGCATTGAGGAGATGGCCTTTATTAAGATAGCGGGATGTCACAAGGACCAAAGACCCAATTCTCTGCTGTCCTACACCTTGTGTAGTTACTTACAGCTGTGCACAGTGGGTTAGAATGGTGCCAACTGAGAGAGACACATGCATGGAAATAAGGCTGGCTCAAGAGGCATAGTTGATTGCTAACTTCAGTGTAACACTTTAGAATTAAGTAATAATTTCATAGAAAGGATTAAAGCATTCCTCTGCACTGCAGACAATCTGTTCCTAAGCATTTATAAGGCCTCAGTGTTCTATTTTAAACAACTGATGGACATGAGCAAAATTAGCATGTTTCTAATTAAGGAAGACAGAAGTGCCCGCAAGCGCTTCAGTCTAACATATTTATCTTCTCGACACCCCTGGGCAGCAGGGCTGTTGTTCCCCATTTGGGGGACGGGGATCTGTGGTACAGACAGACTAAGGGACTTGCCTAAGCTCATATGGGAAGCCTGTGGCAGAAGAGGGTACTGAACTCATGTCCCACAAATTCCAGGCTAGAGCCCTACACTCCAGAACATCCCTTCCTTTGGAACACTTTTAAACAAGGAGGGGAAAACATGAAAACATTGAAGAGTTTATAGCTTTGCTTTCTGTAAGGAAAGCTGAAGTGGAGAATATCAAAATGCAGATATTTCAGAAAGTCATTTCAAACAAATATTTCAGCAATTCTCTGAATACATTTTGTTAAAATGAAGGAGTTATTTTTGCTATTCTGGGAAAAAGTCATGACAATGTTTAACAGTAAAGCAAAACCACACGATAGCTGTTTCTGCTGCAGCCAGATTGCATTTTTGGTTTAACCCAGTTTCAGAAACTCTACTCCCCCAATAAGAACACTGATAATTATCTAACTGGACTTCCAGGAAACACAAGGTAAGTGCCCCCAAAACATCCCACAGACAAAAAACCCAGCTGTGATAAGAGCCTTCAGTTGCATCCAACATGTCTGGCTACTACAACATTTTAATGTATCTCAGTTCCAGGCCCCGGGGCTTTGTTTGTTCTGTGAACGGTGGATAATATTCTGGTTTAAACCTAGGGATAACAACTGTTGCAAGATCTCCAGATAAACATTCTTCTTAGTTTCTTTTTCCATTAACACCACAATAGAAAACAAGTCCAGTTCCGATGCTTCACACAAAACTGTTAAAATGGAGTTAAGGTTGAGAGTGCATATCAGTATTTTACCCTAAATTACATTACAATGATGTTTCAATTATAAACCTAGGAAATTCACAGTTAAGGTTAAAACTTTAAATGCAGACACATTCAGATATGGAAATACAGTTAGGACATCTGAACAACCTTACCTCTGTCTTCTAGTAACACTATGCACTAACCACAGGCTTAGGAGTATGACATTTTCTCTTCATAGTCCCAGATTAAATTAAATTCGTTTTAAAAGACAAATTAGGATTTCTTTCCCCACCCCCACTCCCTGGGTGAAGGGATGGAAGTGCTGACCCCATTAAAAGGGAGAGGCTCAGAAACTGTCATCCCCATTAGTTTAGCACAAATGGAACATACACCGCAGCATGAATCGGTTTCACTACTGATCATTATGATCCTGTACCTGCCAGCATCCTTGGATATAGTAACCGTGACATCAAGTCCCAACGTTGAGACTCTCTTGCAAACTGCATCCATGTCAATAATTGAATCGATGCATTCTGGGCCACCTTCTACACAACACTGAGAGCCTGGGCAGAAACGGCAGTTGTCCAAGCCTTTGTATCCTACGTTATGCCCACATTTTTCCAGTGTTACGGTTGTAGCCATACCTGATACACCCACATGAACCACCAACTGCAAAGAAAAAAAAAACCAAAACAAATTAGTTAGCTAAAATTGGTGGTGGAAGGGAAGAGGAGAGGGGGAAGACAGTAACCCCTGGGGCATTCTAATGCTATGCTGATGGGGCCACATTAAAACCTAGAGCGTTCCAGTAGAACCTCAGAGTTGCAAACACCAGAGTTCCAAACTGACCAGTCAGCCACGCATTTTGTTTGAAACCAGAAGTATGTAATCAAGCAGCAGCAGATACCGCCTCCCTCCCACCCCCCAAAAAACCACCAAATACAGTACTGTGTTAAATGTAAACTACTAAAAAAATGGGAACGTTTAAAAAAAAGATTTGACAAAGTAAGGAAACTGTTTCTGTGCTTGCTTCATTTAAATTAAGATGGTTAAAAGCAGCATTCTTCTTCTGCACAGTAAAGTTTCAAAGTGGTATTCAGTCAATGTTCAGATGTAAACTTTTGAAAGAACCATAATGTTGTGATCAGAGTTATGACAACCTCCATTCCCGAGGTGTTCGTAACTCTGAGGTTCTACCGTAGTTCACAAGCCAATGAAGTCTTGGGTCCAATGCGAAACGGATTCTACTTCTGTCTGTCTAACTCCTAGTGAGAGTTTTATTTCACACCAGGCAAAAGGAAGGTTGGCATGAATGACAATCTGCTCGGGAGAAGCTTGCTACTGGAAGAGGCAAGGTGGCATAGATTAGTCCTAAGGTGCCTAGCCCTAGCCAGCCCTTTTCAATGCCTGTCCAGCAACCACTACTGCTGGGCAGTGCTCTCCATTTTGAGGTGTAGAATTCTTCAAACAAAAGCGGTGCTTTGGAAACCATGGACTATCCAAAGGCCCCTGTATTGACTTTATAAGTGTTCTATGTATCTTTATGGGCTGCCTAGTGATGGCATTCCTGGCTAAACGGGTAAGATATAGGTTTCCTGAAGCAACCAAAGTACTGGGGTGTAATCAGTGAAAATTCCCAATGCTGAAACAGAGCAGGTGATAATGCTTGTGGCAGTTCATCCCCTGGGAAATAGCACTCCAACTGCTTTGAGTTGGTTCAAGGACCTAACAGAGAAAGAACTTGGAGCTGTGCAAGATGTCAGCTCTGGCCTGGGCAGAGGACCACAGACACTACTTGTGAACTGACGGGCATGAAGATAGGTCTAACAGAATCAGGTCCTGCAGGAGGACCTCAAGTATTTTTGAATCTACCAGCCCTTCCATGTGAAAGATGGGTGATCACCTGGTAGGGCGGGCATGCATATAACAGGTTTGTTTCTCAGATGCGTTTTCTCTAAAATGATTTCATTCTGAACACACAGTACTTGGCTTTATGAAAGCTGGCTAATCACTGGATAGCTTTGTCATTGCCCTTGAGAGACTGGAACTACAAGTGATGAGCTGAAGTCAGATCTGTGGAGGTAATTAATGAATTGTAAGGATCTGCAGCCCAGGAGCAGATTGCATGATTCTGCCCTGAGAACAGTGGCAGCTAGAGGCTTGAACCCAAGGCGGGCTGCCCTCAAGGAGGCCATGTAGACATCACTCATGCAGGGATTCGGGAACTGACACTACTAACCAGGGCTCTATTTTAAGCTGTATAATTGTCCAAATTCACAAGTTTCTGTCAAAAGGAAAGATCTGTCAAATCAAAATTTTAAATCAAGATACATCAGAAGTTTGATTTTGCATTAGGAACATCAACCCATGGTTGTAAGGATCCGTCAGTTTATGATCATCTATTCCATCTTGCTTTGGATTTTACTCACTTGTGGACTGTGTTTTTTCCACAATGCAGGAATTAGTCTTTGTACTGTTTGGTATTCAACTGGGATTTCATATACATACAGATCCACACCATCTCCCAAGCCAAGCTTCTCCAGCTCCTAAGAACAGGAAAAAAAAGTAAATATCAAAATATCAGACATTTATGCTGGAAAGTCTATTGCTGGGCCAGCCTTCAAGTGTGCTTTATGCTATCCTGCAGGAAAGAGCTCAGTCTGGCTTCCTTGCCTCTGGACAGATGGGAGGAGAACCACCATGAGGTTTCCAGTGCCCAAGTTAAAGTGAGACAAAAGAAATGACCTTTCTATTCCTCCTCTGTTGGCCATTGGTAGAAGTGACACAGCATTCCATTAGCAAGCTCTGCACCTGCCCTAAGGAGAGGCTCTCTCCATAGCAGTTAGCTGGGCAGGGGGAAAGCAATCATAACTGGGCTGAAGGGACAGTGAGAAATTATCTTTCCATCAACAATATTAGAAATCCACAGATAGGACCTTTTATCATACAGATTCTGACCTATGCAGAAAGTTAAATTCCTTAGTTAAACCCGGACAGGTTGCAGACAGTGCCTCACATCAAAAAGTAACTTCATGTCTGTGCCATTTTTCTTAGCTATATTATTTTCAGGAATATGTAAGGATATCTTGCTTCTTTCAAGTGGTTTGCATTATACACAGAAAGCACCACAGATCATGCTATTCACAGAATAAGTCTTTCTAGTCACCCTAGATAGGAAGAATGAATATGCAAGTTTTCATCCTTGCCTGCATGCGAGAAGGTCAGCAACTCCTCTCTAGTGAAAAGTAGCACCAGTCAGATTGCTTTTTTGTTAATCTTTATAGGGAATTACAAAACTCCTCATACGGAAAACTGAAGCAGCATCAGCACAGATCACTCGATATATTTATGGGTTTTACTTTCACTTTGGCAGGATTAAAAATACAGCCTTAAACTTTAACATGGAAAAGGAGTTTATTTGATGTCTTCACCTATACTGTACCATCCAGCATATTTGTACTTAATTTTGCAACAGCGACTTTTAATTTCTGATTCAAATATTGCACTGTCACTCCTCTAAAAATATTGGCTAAGAGTCCTCTGACTGTTTTAAATATTTGGACACTAACTGAATTTCAGTTGAACAAACATCCAGCATCGACTTTGTTCCTACACGAGAGTGAAAATGGCAGTTCTGTGGCATGCTTAGTACTAGCGAACATGATGCTCCGTTAAAGCAGAGAACGTTCAGGTAGCGAGATGAAAGCTAGCTAGGAGATACATCCTGCTGCACTGGGAAGCAGTACCAGAGCCATCACAGCAAGACACAGAAAACTTAGAGCGCTGTGGCTAAATGCGACAGGAACAAGTTTCCCAGATGATTAAACAGTACAAGTGGGAATCTGGTCACTTTAATCCTACTACACAGACAGCATAAATCCCCATGCAATAACAGAGAAATATAACCTTTAGGAGCATTTAAAAATAAAAACTTGGAGCATAAAGACACATGGAAGTGCTTGAGCCACACTGTGACATTCAAACACTTGAAGGAAACAATTGTTGTTTACTTTAGGATTTCAGGTATCTTTCCCCCATTCCACTAAGGAGAGCTGTAAAACACACATCTCACAGGTGTCTAACCAATCAGTACACATACTGCAAGTCTTTACGTGCATTACATTTTCACCATCCCCCTCCCGTAAGCATGAAGGGCTACATATAGTCCCCCCATTCAACCAGTGGGTATGACAACAATTAGTGTTACTCCAAGGCAAACAGACATGGTGGATGCCCAACCTCTTGGTATATCTGACTCCTCTATGTGTCTCCAGACCCAGGCCATGGGACCACTTTAAGTAATGCTTTGCTTGTACTTCTACAGCATCCTTCACTCAAGGATCCCAGGCTTTACCAACAGCTAATTCAGTCTCAAACACACCTATGACACATGGAAGGACAGTAAGGTCCCCATTTTAGAGACGGGGAAATTCATGTAGCAATATGCAACCTTGAGCAATTCAATCAGCATGCTAGTGGCAGAGCCAGGAGTAGAATCCAATTCACTAGACACCTAGCAGAATTTTAAAGACAAAGCCATCCTCCTCCTCTGATCATCATCGGGATAACGAGTGGCTTGAAAATATGTTGTCATGCTTGTCCAAACATGGTTTGGGACAATAGAGAACCCATAAAAACCAATATCCTGATTGCACTAACACTTTAATAACCCCTTTGCTTTAACAGGTATTGTTTCAGAGGGCCCTGCTGTTTCAATATATTTTGGTTTGATAAATTAATAAAATATTAGGATAAATGAGTGTTAAGTCCATTTATTTTATCATTTAGTGCATTGTAAATGTATCCCTTTTGACATGTTTATAAAAGAATAAACATCACTATTTGCACAGCTTTTGGCTCGTTGCACTGAATTTTATACAGGTTTGCTAAGACAGCTACATAGTATTGTTTGTGTTGTGGGACATACATATTTTAAATTGGAATCTGAGTGGATGGTAGAGCTTGGAGTTCCCCAAGAGCTACAGTGAATATCCCTTTACTCATAAGTTAACATGTTCAAAAGCATTCTAACCCATGGTGGTGATTTAACAGTTTTTGAAATGCAAAGGTAGAATGTGACTTCACTGACTACCCTTGAGGTGTTCACTTCTCGTCATATCAAAGTTGTGTGTTTGGGGTTGTGTATGGGAGGGGTATTGGAGTTTAGCACAAAGCAACCACTTTTATTTGCTGATCTGGGCACTACAAAAATGAATTGTTTTTTCCACATGCAAAGTGAGCAAGTCAAAAAAGGAGACAATGTACTGAAATGCATTTTAAAAAAAGGAGTTCCATCGGCTGGCTATGGGGTTAGTTTTAGGAGAGAGCAGAAGGGTGGTTTCTATACTTCTGTAGGATTTGTAGATTTACTATAAATCAATGAAATTATATTTCCACAAACCCATATAGAATCAGCATTGCCGCCGAATTGGACAGCTGGCTAGAGTCCCATCTTCTGACTTTAGAGTATCTGGATTATAATTTTAGTCAAGATTAATAGCCCAGAATACAAACATGTATGCAATCATAAAATTTTTTACAGAATTTATACCCTCTGTGCAGCAAAACAGACTGCTTACTTTATTTTAGAATATTTATTTCAACTTGCAGATGAGAGGAAGGGTCTCAAATATTAAAAAAAGTAAGACATTAGCTGCAACTGAATTCTTAAAAATTCAGTTGAATTTAATCTATTTATTCAAATGCAGGACTAGACTTTCTGCTGTAGTCAAAACTTTGTCCTATGACAACCTTAATCAGACAAACAGAAGCCAGACAGCAGACTATAACGAAATTCAGACCCCAGAGACACACTAACCTTCCCAATTGCCCAGAGGTAGGGAGAAGAGGAAAAAAAAGTTGAGTACCACATTACTTGGTTTGAAGTACAAAGACACTAAACCTGTGGGAGCAACTCAACGAGGCCCTACAAGAGCAGCTTAGTACATGGAGGCTTTAGTAGTTTGGGAGAGAGTAATACTGCACTATAATTTATGGCTACTTTTTGCAACATCCTAGTAATAACTGATTCTTTAAAGTTGCACCACTTCATTGAATTCTTTATTTATGCATTATTAAGATACCAGTATTAAAACTTGTATGCAAGTGCACAGGGTAACTGCATCCTCCACATGCTTAGGGAAACTACTAAAGGAAGAAAGGGACTGACTTTGGTTATTTTAAACATTAAGGTTTAGAAATACAGCCTTAATCATTTACCTCTGGGTATTATGAAAGTTGGAAACCCAGACAGCCAGGACAGCTACAGGGTGAAGTGTAACAACTGCTCATAAGCAACACTCACAATCATTCTTTATTTGTACTCCCAGCGTGTCTGTATCCATCTGTCGTCTCTTGTCTTATAGTTGGATTGTAAACTCCTGTGGGTTCTGTGTGTGTACAGCGCCTAGCACAACAGGATCCTGGTCCATGACTAGGGCTCCAAGGTGCTATGGTAATACAAATAAAGAATACAGTTTTATCACATACAGACATTCACGGAGTTGAAGATCACGGACTTCGTGCCAAACAATACTCCAAAGGGCTGTGAGGATCTACTGCATATCTTGAATGTCATTGCTTGCTTCTTCCTGTGTATACAATTGGTTAAGTGAGGGATCCATGCTGACTGAAGACATACATTAGGAGCTCTGTTGATACTAAAACCATCTCAATACAATGAGCAGAGAATCGGGGCTCTAGTCTGGTCTTAGTTACTTCCAAAGTGATACACAGAAGTAGCTCTATGCAAAATGTCCAGAACATTAGAAATCTGGGCCAGGGATAGAAATGGATAATTTAGTGTTCCTCAGAGTAGGCCTGTCAGGTACACAAGAGATGATTGTGCATATCTAGGAGAAGGCAACTAGCCCCAGCTAGCAAGTTACTTGTTTTCTAACCATTAGCTGAAAACCTCGGAGAAGCTGAGTGTGCAAGTTCAAGTTGCCCCCGAGCTTCTCTTTACCTTGTGATTTGCACTTACTCTACAGGTCACCACTGGCCTTGCTGAGCCCAGCAGCATTACAGAGTCTTAGTATTACCTGGCTGAACAGGTCTTGAGCAGCCTCTCCAGTTTATGAGGGACAAACAGGTTTTTCTTTGACACTAGGCCAGCAGGTCATCTCTCTACTTGTTTCTTCTTTCAAACGTGTATGTAGCCAGTGCGGGTAAAGGGGTCCCAGTTTGCCTTAGTGTCTTTTCTCCAGTACCTCAATGGCGCATAGGATATTGAACCTGTCTCTTCTCAAGGGAGTGTTCCCTCAAAGAGCACGTGTTTACTACACTTTTCAATTGCCTTAATAAAACCAAACAGAACTCCAGAGCTCAATGATCTGTTCTCTTGATCTTGGCAGCTGTGAAGTTCCTTTGGAAGCTCTTGTCCCATTTCCAGAGTGGTCAGTGGCACCCCAAAGCAAGGCGCCAGGAAGGCAGAAGTTGCAGCACCAGCATGGAGTCCGTACATTATTCTGAAGCTGTTCTACCGGTGTCAATTCCATTGAGCATTACCACTTGCACTATTCTTTTTTTTTTTTTGCTTCACATAATG